TTAGTCAAATTTCTATTCTAAAAACAGCTTATGGTAAGGCCTCCAAAGTTTCCTGCAATAAAGGTCATCACAGGTTTCTTTTGAAATGTCCTGAATGTCTCCTGTACTCTCTGTCACTGGAGATACATGCTTGTATAAGGAATATTGATTGTTCATGGCAGCAAGGAACTAGATCCCAAAAAACAACCTCATATAGCTAGAAGGTAGGTGAGATGAGTAAGTAAAGCAGACGGCAATAGGAAAAAAATACGAGGCCCATCTGTTCCAAACAACATGGAATTTCTATTGTTTTTCTAGAGCCCTTCTTTGAAGAAACTAGAATGTATCTGCACATTGAATATCACACCATATTTTATTTTCTTAACATCTCTTTCTAGAATGTATGTGCTCTTCAGCAGAGGCATGCCTGCCTGCTGCTTTTTGTGGGCAACACGCTGAACTTTTACAGGGTTACTGTTCAGAGCAGCTTGGCCAGTGGAAGAGTGGGTGGAGGGTATTCAGCTCTGCATCCACTGGCATTCCTTGTTTTCAGAGGTCTTGAGCCAAGGAGGGCTGTGCCTCTGAGCACAGGCAGTCATATGGCAGGGTTGCTGCCAAGGGATGAAGCCACTGACTTGTGATGCAGTCTGTCTCTCTCAGACCTTCATGCTGGGATAAAGGCGGCACTTAGGGTGCCAGGGAGAGCCTGAGGTCAGCACCTGATGAGACTGGGGCTTTATGACTTGGAAAGACATGACACGCCTCAGGGTAAGTGGGGGAGAGCATGGCTCTGTGTCACCTTGTAATGATAAACAGGTGGCATCAAGGCATGGGGGCAGTGAGCGTGGGCTGGTAGTTCTAGTCCAAAAATCATGCAATAAAGTCACTTTGGCTGTTAGGAAAAGAGAGGAGTTCATGGTGTGTGTGTGCTTATGAGCAGAAGGCAAGAGAAGGAGTAAATGGCACGTAGGAACGTGTGCCTGAGCCTGCCAGACCCTTGGCAGAGGCAAGGGAGAGTAGCAGGTCCATTCCTGTGAGATCTGGGAGGAAGAGTTCCTGTCCCCATGGCGAGAGGTGTGCAGAGAGCCTGGTGCTGTGATTTCTTCATCCCTCACAGCTCATTCCAAAACGAGATCACATTTTAGCAATCCACTGTTCTCAACTGGCCTTGGCTCAGTCCTGTCACATGCACGAGTACTACTTTTGCCCAGGCCCACCCCAGAACTGCTTGCCCTGGGGATGGCAAGGGAGGCTGGCAGTCTTGTCTGCCCCCCAGGCTTGGAGGTAGGTAAGGCTATACAAATCCAGAAATAAGAGAGGAGTCTTTCTGTGTAGCTTGTCTTGAGGTTTAATTTCTCTCTTTACTTGAGTCTTTGTTTCCATTGCTGTGGTTTTTCATCAGTTTTGATCACAGTCAAGTCATGCTAACATAGCGTACATGCAGTTTACCTAGAATGGAAAATCATCTCAGTCCATTCAGCTCCATCGCCCTTTTGAAAGAGGCCCCACTGTGAAATGAAGGAAGACTGGGGGAAAAGAGGCGTTCTACTGCTGGTATTTTATCAGACTGCTATTCTCTTGGTAGTTTCTTATAGTCCCAAGCTAGCAAGCAAGGGGTAGTGCCTTTCTCAGCTCTCACTAAAAAGCAAAATATTTCTGCCTTTGAGTGCAGAGCAGCACAGCACCTGTTGTGTTCCTATGGTTCTGAAGCCAGAAGGCAGAGAAATTGATCTTGTAACTTTTGTCCAATCTCGTTGCTTTTGAGGGAAGTGCTGTGTTTTGAGGAGATGTGTGCTGAACAACTATCATTTAATTCTTGCGGGTTGCTAGTAGTGTGTGCTGCAGCTGGGATAGGCTGCTGGATAGCCCTGGCTCAATTTGGCATCTTTGCAGCTGGCAGGGTTAATGCTGTGTGTATGGGAGGAGGAAGGAGGATTTGTACTTCAGACCTGCCTCTGCTGGGAGCTAGAGAAGCCAAGCACCGCCTCATTTATTGCACCGGCAAGAGTGAAGGAGCTGACAAGATATTCCTGTAATTTGTTTGAAGCTGCATTCATTTCTCCAGAAGGGGGAGAGTGGAGTAGTCAAATGCTGGGAGGAATTCCCAGCCTAATTCAGGACTGTCCTTTTTCCCTGACTCCACAGACACTATGAAGGGGCTGTCAGATCTACTCACATGTTTTGCAAAGTCCAGGATTATCTGGCTATTGAGTCAGTCTTTGTAAAGTGTGACCCAACAATTCTGTTTTAAGAGTTCACTGTTGGTTTTGATACTATTTTGGTTACTGAGAAAATATTATAAATGCATGGAGGTGCAAGCCATGTGCATCTCATGACTTGCAGGAAGTGCATAGATGTATGGCAGGCATAATGCTCCTTTCTGATGGGGAAATTTGAATTTGGCTCACAGATATTATTTTGTAACAAAAAAAGGATGGCAGAATGAGTTTCAAGTATTTCTGCGACACTGAATTTTTAGTGTTTTATCCTCTGATATATAAATTGTTACTTCTGGTTTTTTTTGAAAACCAGACTATTTCCTCCATCGCAGTTACATTTGTTTTCTTTTGACAAACCCTGATTTGTTGCTCCTGTTTCTGTAAGGATCAGATGGGTAATGGAAGCTGTACAGCAACTTTATGTATGCTACTCGAGATAGTAAAATGCAAGCCTACAATAGGCCTTTTTTCAGCAGCTGTAAAGCTGTTGTGTGAATACAGTGAATCCATTCAGTGTCCCCCACGCTTGCTGGGAGCACCCTGGAGAAGAGAGTTGTACTAGTGAAATGACTATCCAGCAAAATGGTTTCAGAGGGGCAGGCTGATGACTCACTCCTTATTTTGGTTTGCAGGGTCTTTTTCTGGGTATGTGAAGTTTTAGCCTGAGTTAAGAGATCAGTAACTTTCTATAACTTTCTCCTTCTTTCCAGGTTGTCCACTAAATCAGCATGGGTGTTCTGTTCCTTACATCAGTCCTCTGAGATGGGGGAGTGCTCTTATTTTTGTTGTAGAGACAGGGGCAGGGGAAATTTTGGGTTAAGTGATAGTGCGCATTAGGAGCCAAACACTCATGCTGTAGTTGTACTATAGAAGCTCAAGTGTCATTCAGAGCTATTTCAGCCTTTCAGGAAGTGTCACATAGCATTTGCCCATAGGTCATGCAAAAAAGCGTGGAGGATAGCTGGGAATCTGTCCATCAAACAGTTTTATTTGACTCTTTAAACAGAGCATTAAAATGTAAGTTTGTAAAGTGAGAAAGGGAGGATTTAATGCTGATTTTGATCTTTGGCCACCTTGTATTTGAGTTCAGGAAAAAAATGAGAGGCAGAACCTAGTTGATTCGGCAGGGTGATGCTCTGTAAGAAAATCCCTTTAACACTTTTTCTTAAATTAAGAAGGGTTTCTAGGTAGCATGAGTCATGGACAGACTGTCCTCATTTCACTTTGAACTTGCAGCCTTCTCTGGACGTGTGTCACAGATTTAGAGGACTTTGTCTGCTTCCTGCAAGTGGTAGGCTTGGCTCCTGCAGCCTTGACTGGTGTAGAGTGAGAACAGGCTCCTTGAAGGAAGAGGCAGCACCCTGTCAGGGGGAGTAGCATGGTGGAGTAGGGGCCCAGCTTGAGTATTTTGTACAATAAGCAGCTTTGGGGAGTGGTGACATAGGCACAGCCTTTGTACAGGTGTCAAGGTCCCCCTTATTTGTGTGTTGTGGTCTGCTTCAAGTTTTGGGTTGTTCTCCTCCAGGGTGTGTGGGGGAATGCACTGTGGCGTAGAAAGCTGTACTTTTTGAATTTTTGACCAGTTTTGGAAAAGTTGTCTTTTTTGAGGTATATAAAGCCACAGAAGGCTGTGAATATTGTCTTAATTTCTTAATTAAAAGCAAGGGGAAAATTATTCAGACCTGTCTGTTCTAGCCAAGGCAGAAAATCAAAGTGTTCTGGCTTACGTGCACACAAGGTCAAATCCTCTCTTTGTCATGTTGTGTAAATTTGTTGGCTTCAGTGGGGGTAGCCACAGGTGTAACCCTGGGAACAGTTTCTTTCAGCCTTTTTACAGAGCAAAAATGAATGTGGTTGTTGGTCCTAAAAATTGTTCATAGAGAAATAGCTGGGATGTTTGTAATCCAGAGAGGCCATGCAAATGCAAGACCACGCTCTCAGAGGGAACGTGAACTCTGCACTGGCTGGCAGTGTTTTCCTGCTGACAGAGCCTGGTTTGGAGCCTTACGTACTCAGCTGGCCCTTGGCCAAGCCTTGCTGCAGGTACGGGAGAGGGAGGAGGGTGAAACAGGGGGCGGTGAGAAACTGCTTTCGGTAGCAGCACTCGCTGAAAAGTCAAAAGCCTTCAGACCTTTTTTGGTGATGGTAGAAAATGTCAAAATTGATTGTATTAGAGACCTGCCAGTTACACTGAACTCATCTACTTTGTCGCTCCTCCTCCCTTCCTTCCTCCCTCGACAGCTGGGCTGGGTTTTGTAGTGCTAATGCTGCATTGCTTCTCCAGCACGGCTACTACTTCCCCCACGCTGCTACTACAGAAATACTCCAGGAACTCAGTGAAGACTGAGGGAGAGGGCTGTATATGTTCTATTAGTGATAGTAACAGTGATTGCAGGAATAAAACTGGGTAGCAGTTTAATGCTTTACATAATGATTTTTCTTCTGGTTTGTGTTCTGGGTTTTCTTCAATTTTCGCTGTCATAAATTTGTGGAGTCTGGTATATCCTGGATTGTGCTTTAAATGAATACTTTGTAGTGCACTTATCTTATGGATTTTTAAAATGCCATGGTTTTGAGTGATCTAAACCAGTGGGGTTTTTTCTTTTTGTTCACTTGGGTCTTTTTTAATTTTATTTTTTAAGTACAGCTCACAGAAGAGCTGTTGCTGGAGGAAGTTACCACACTTGCTTTAGATAATGAAACATACATTCAAAAAAGGTCAGGGATTTCCCCTGAGCCACCCACCAATTGCTTGAAATGACGTTTTCATTCTGAGTGTCTCTTTTTTTGTTTTTGTTTAAGATCCTGGAGCACAGGGAAAGAGTTTTAATGCAAAATACCAGAAAAAAAAGTCTGCAACATCTCCTGTGAGAGGGGAGAGAAAAGGAGATTAACAATTGCATCTTGAAACACTCATGATTTGAGGTAAGTGATTGAAGGGTCTTGTCATAAGTTACAGTTAGTTTGTAATTAAATTAATCATTATTTACCTTGGAGTGTCATGATATTGTTGTTGAAGGCAATAAAAACAGGCAGGAGAGGGAGGGAGAGAACGGTAACAGCAAACCCAGAAACAGCAGTAAAAATACGTAATGCACTTATCTTTTTGAAAATGAGTCCCATGAGTTCCAGTCCCACAAACTGGCAATCATTCTGACATTTATAAGGGTTAGACCCTGTTTAAATCAATGAGGCTATTCTCTCTGAAAGTTAGGCATGAGCCTAAATATTTCCTAGTTTGGAATCTATATCATATGGGAACTATTGAAGAACATACAACACCCAGTCAGAAAAATGCATATACTAATCTCTTACTGTTGGTGATATGTCATGAGTAATCTGATTTTGCAGCATTCTTAAGAGATATTTTTATATTAAATACATAGTTCTCATTTTTTATGTTTAAACACCTCATTGAAATACCAAACTTCTTAGCAAAGCCTGTGAATTCTATTCCAGCTTTAACAATACATCTGCCTTAATTGCTTCATCAGTGTGCCTTTGAACAAATGGAGTTTAACGTATAAAGAAAATAATGTCCCCTTTCATAACTAGAGTTGCATATTGCACTTGGATATTTGAATAGCAACTGAACTAAAAGTTCCCTGGCTGAGGCTGAATTGTGTTGTCAGAGTTAATTTTTTTTAATAAAGACAATGACGAGGCACAAGGAGAAGCTCACCTTTTCCCTGTAGTCTTATTTTTTGTTTGTTTTCTTTTCATTTCTCATTAGAAAAGAATCAAACTTGAATCTAGTAAGGAGAAAATACTACAGTTGTAAAACTTTTAACCAATGAAAATGTTGCATAAATGAACGCTAAAAAACACCAGCATCTTTCTTAAATAAAAATTTTAAATTATTTATTCTCTTCTGCCCCACAATTGTGCTGAAAGAGACAAAACTGCTGTAAGGAATCTGCAGAATCAAAAAGACACATGTAATTTGAAAGAAGCAGAGTATACATTCCCACAAATGTGCAGAGAATTAAAACCTTTTGGCAAGTGGCATTTGCAGGCATATGTTGCTTACCAGATTTCAGAGGAGAGCGTAGCCGAACCCTGGTGATTGCTCTGTATTTTGCTTTGTAGGAACAGAGCTATTAAGTTTCTTTTGAAATCAACAGGCCCACTGCAGGGAGCTAAATATTTCCTTTCTGGTCAGTGAACAGGGGCCATTGCTTGGGAGATTGTAGTGGTCCTGTAGGTATTTGTACTGATTTTTCTGAACAGGTCAAAAGTTTTTCAAATCAGTGTAGCCAACTCCTTTTCATGTGCAGGTCTTGCACTAGGGACTGTGATCCCAAACAGGAATACAGAACCCTTTCAGCAGGCACTTTTTGTAGTTGTGAAATGAGGTATTAGTGCAAACCTGTTTGAAGGCTGAGGTCAGGTAGTGCCTTTCTCTCTGGGACAAGCCCTGTTTCAGGTTCAGGTGACAGTCTTGGCCAAACCAGTGAGAGAGAAATGCTCCGTTGTGTGATCACCCTCAGCCTACCTTTGCTTTCTGTTCCTCCCACTCTCTTGGAGGCAAGCATTCCTTCTTGGTTCTGTGGAGCATAAATCAAAATGTTTTTATTGCTGCCTTCTTTTCATTGATGTCAGGCCAGGATAAGGCGCATGATTTTCCTTTCACAATTGCCTTCTTGTTGCTCTCTGAGGAAGCGCATGTTGAAGTTCAGGAAGAGGTATTTTGTAGCATCTGTGTGGCCTTTATAGTAATTTTATCAGCTCTGTGTTACGCTCAGAAAATCGTTGAGGTTGTTTTTAGCTTTTTTTGTATCACAGAGTGCAGGAGCTCATTGTCAGAGTATTTGAGGGAACCTCTTTGGTGCCAAAAGATCCATATTAGGATATATTAAATTGTACCACTATCCTTCTCCTTTCTTATTTTTTTCAGCATGTGGAGAAATAATGTCCCCATTTGTGTGCATGGAGAAGGTCCTGTGGTATATGCCAGGGAGTTATGTGGGCGCTGAGCTGAGCAGGCAGAGAGACTGACTCTCTCCTGCTTTGTATTTTGCACTGGGAGTGAACACAGGGGACCGAGCCTGCCCAGATTAAACACATGCCTTTTTTGTTTTGCTCTTCGTTCAGCTGTCAGCATGCCATGTTCAGATGGCAGTGATCAGTCACAAATTGTCCCCTGACCATGCTCCTCAGCTCTCCTGAACCATTAGTTTTGTGGAGCTCTTCAACAAAGATGGCACTGGTTCGATTTCCCCACCCCCTCCCCTGGCTAATGGAAGAAGACTTTGTTTGTTTGTTTGTATTTTCCCCTCTAATCAACTGCATTAGATCCCAAAGCAACTTGTGTTAAGTGGAAGTGAGGCTTTGATAATATGTGTGCTTGCTAGAGACTTAAGATTTCTTTTTCCCCACCCCCTGTATATGGATCTTTTCAATGGGGTGCCGCTATTGTGAATCAGAAGGAAAGTGCATAGGCTGCCAAGCACATAATAAAATTATTCTTTTGTTTCAGTATGTGTGTGTGAGCCTTTGTAAAGAGGAGGTGGTGAGGACAGAGAAGGGAGACCTTCAGTGCATGGAGGCAGGAGAGTGCAGTGGCACAGTGCAGGGCAGCACAGTGGCGAGATGTGGCCGTGCCAGTGCCTCCGTGCCCCTTCTGCTCTGCTCTGGTGGGCACTGCCTGGGACTCACACTGTCACACTGCATGTCCCAGGAAAATGGGTGAACCTTGCACAGCCATTCACTATGCTGCCTGTAAACCACATAAGGCAAAATATTCAAAAGCTGTAATGTTTCCAGTGCTTTCCCTAAACTTTCAAAAGAGTGATGGAAAAATGAACTGTGCCGATCCTGTCCGTCCTCACTGTGAGGCTATTTATTGTAAAGGATGTATAGTATAGTTAATTTCAGTATGGAGTACATAAGAGCTTGAACCAAAGCCTTAGATCCAAGCCCACCAGCAGCTTTGCAAAAGGCAGGATCCACAGCTGAAGTCAGTGGTTCACACAGTTTCTAGCGGAGAGTGGTTTTAAGTTACTTCATGAAATGGGAGTAGCCAGAAATTTTAAACTGAGGCTTTTAAACAAGTTTTTGACTTTTTCTCACCCACCATTCTCCTCTGCCTTAGAAGGTTATTGCAAAAGCACAGCAGCTATTTTCTCCTAGCCACTGTGGCCAGGACACACCAACTTAGGGAAAGGAGAAAGGCCTCTGTGGTGGTGACTGTTATACAGCCAAATGCTTTTTTTTTCTGAGTATTTTTTTTCTTCTACGGAGTTAGACCACTCTTCTGGATGGAGGTCTTTGAAATCACAGTGGAGGCTTTGGAAGTAGGATCCTGAAATTCCAAAGACATCAAGAAATTATTTATCACCCTGGCATGGAACAAATCAGGCCCCAGTGGCTGGACTGCCACCTCCTGAAAAGTCCTATCTTGAGATACCATAGCTGAATTACAGACATGAAAAATTTCAGCATTGTAGACAAGAAGTCCATAAGGCCCAAATTTTTCATTTCTTGCTAGATATGTGGTTCTGTTTTTATGCTCTCCCTTTTCTTTTGCCCTTGGACACAACATTTTAGGGCTTTTTAGTCTCTAGCTGTGCATGCACTAGAGAGGCATCTGGTTATGTGTTACTTTACACATCTGTTACGTACGTCAGAGAGTCAAATCCAGCACCCAGAGACTTAATGTGTATTTGCAGTACTCCCTGTGGGACTTTGAATCCTTCATCCAATGAATGGCTTATGAGGATACAGTATTTCAATCTAGTGCATATATTACTGCAGTTTATTGCATATATATTGCACATATATACAGTACAGTCTCCTTTGTATTTGGCAGAGAAATCTGGTGTGGGAAAGATGAGAAGTGCAGGTGAACTGGGAAGTATTTAGGTATGGCAGTTAATTTGCTCCCTCCTGGAAACATATCTCTGGTTGGCTGCATGAGAAACAGTTTTCATCATGGTTTGAATATCTCTAAAAGGTGCCCCAACAGTGTTTGTGTATTTCAAACTTAACTTCAGGCTTGTGGGACAGTGGGCCAAATACCTGAGGTGGAATTGGTAGCTGAGGCAAAGCTCAGGCTTTGCAGTTTTGTCTGGAGAATCTGTACTATTTGCAGGCTGTACAGGAAGCACGAGTGTCATGGCTTGACCCCAAATGACAATCAAGTACTATGTAGCTACTCACTCCCTGTACCCCCACAGTGGGATGGGTAAGAGAATTGGGAAAAAAAGTAGGTAAAACCCCTGTGGTGAGATAAGAACAGTTTAATTATACAACAACAGCAAAAACAGTAACAACAGTAGTGGTAATGATGATTATGATGATGTAATGAAAAGGGAGGCAACCAGAAGATAAAGAGAAATAAAATGTGAGAAAGACAAGTGATACACAGCATAGCTGCTCACCAGCCAGTGACTGATACCCAGCCTGTCCCCAGGCAGCCATCAGCCCCTCCTGGACAATTCCAGCTGACAGATTGAGCAGGGTGCTCTATTGTATGGAATATCCCTTTGGCCAGTTTGGGTCATGCTCCCTCCCAGCTTCTTGTGTAACTCCTTGCCTGCAGAACTGGGAAAATGGAAAGTGGTTGACTACTGAGCAACTAAAACATGAGTATGTTATTAACATTATTCTCGTGCTAAATCCAAGACCCACAAAACTTACAAGCCACTAGGAAGAAAATTAACTCCATCTCAGCTGAAACTGATTAGCTGAACCTGCATTAGTTAGGGTTTCTGCTTTGCTTTTCCCTCTGATTGCTTGTTCTGCAAGTACATTAAGTTTGCAGAAAACATGTAACTTCTTAGATGGTCTTTTTTTATGATCCATGCAGAACCCAAATTTGGTAGATGTTATTCCTGCTTAGGGCTTTTCATTAGTGTGCAATGCATGCCAGTGAGCAGATGGACTTACCTGTTAATTTTTGGGGTTTTTTGTTTGCTGTGGTG